CCCCAAAACCCCAAAACCCCAAAACCCCGTAAAGGGGTTGCTTTATTGAAAATTCTGTTTGAGATCATTTTAAATTCTAGGTAAAGCTGAATAGCTGAAGAAGGAAATAATATTTGGCTTATTTGGGAGAGAGATTTTGGTTAATGTGATATTAAGAATTTGAGTTTATGGAAGTTGAATGCTGGTAAAATGGGGTTGAGTGTTTTAGATTTTATTAAGAAGATTTTGGTAACAATTATTGAAATAATTCATGGGATTTAGGGTGCCTGATTTGTTTTAATAAGACTCTGGTTGTCTAAATCTTCTTGTAGTCATATACTTCTTTTATGATTTCTGAATATCTGATTTCTCTTTTGGATTTTAAACAATTGTTTCTTGTTTACTATTGGGATGAGATAATAATTTACTTTGAATTGAATTAGCAACCTTTCTTTTAGTCTTAGGAGCAACTATAAGATAATTTTTGGTAAATTACTAATATTCTGCATTATTAAGGATTTATTGATATTCTTTACAGATGGAAGTGCGCTAAGAAGGTCCTCAACTTCATCTCTTTCTGTATTTAATATTTTCTGTTTACTCTCTGTACTCTGATTGAGTATCCCATTTTTTCAAGACTTTGTCATCAGATTATCAGGTGAAAGTTTATTTCCATGACTCTCAAAATTCTCACTGAGATTCAGTCTTCTTTTACACTTTCGTTTAGAATGATTTTTATTGCTTCTATGAGTAAAAATTGAGTTGAGATCTTTATATTCCTTCTGGAGAATGCTGATATCATTTGGACTGAACATATCCACCCATTTTGATACTCTTAAAGCATGTTTATGAAGCTGAGCCCTCTTTTCGTAAAGTGTCTTTTCGCTTTCATCAGTATTTATAAAGTAATCTGCAGCTTGCTTTAGAGCTTCCATTACAATTCCGCAAATATTTTTATTCTGCTTATGCAATATTTCTAGAGAAATTATCATAAACTTACCAATAGAGTTCATAGCAGTATTGGTGTCATTTTTATTAGATTTTAAATCAAGTTCATGCATAAATTCCGCATTACCAACTTTATGTTTCAGTTTCTCTTCAAGCTCTTCCATAGTAACTGCTTCTTTGTTATTCAATTTAAATTGAACTTCTTTCATGATTTTAGAAGAGATAGTTGAGATTGAGTTATTAAGAGTTCCTATATGCTTTACCAACAAGTGCTACTAATAATATCCTTCTCTACAATTTCCATACTCTTATTGGTCTCAGCAATTGCTTCTTTGACTTTGGTATTAACTTCATTCATACTTTTGGTATTTTCTGATAATTCCTCCTTTGTAGCAAAACTGTCTAAATGTTAATCGAATTCCTTGCGTAAAGTATCTTTGAGAGACTCCATTGTCACTTTAGATGCTTTTGTGAGTAAAATTTCATCAAACCTTTGAACAATATTTTCAATCTGAATTATCTTCTCGCCAAATTGATGAACTGATTCCTAAATCCTAGTAAGTTTTACTGACAAATGAATGTTAATAACTTGGCTTACAGAAAAGGTTTGAATTTGTGGTGTAACTTGAGCCTCAAGATCTTCAAGATGCTGATACATGCAATACTTATCCATCTCTTGATAAACTTTTTCAATATCAGAAAATGTTGCTTTCTCTCTATAAGGTTACTCTATGATTATACAATAATTCTTTTCTTATTTTTCCAATCATTTTATGAATCTTTTTCAGCTCAACATTAACCTTGCCGATGTTGCTAGCATTTTCTTTAATGTATGACTGTTGGTTTTCAAATTTCTCAAATACTGTGTTTTCAAAATAACTTTGCTTTTGATGTGTTTTTGACAACATTTCTATACATGATGTTACAGAATACCTTCTTTAACACTTTCCAGCATTTGAGATACATCAGACTTGACAAAATAATCGTTATGCATTGACTCTTTAAGAGCATCAATGCTGTTCTGGGTTGCACCAAAATCATCTGTTTTAACGTATAATTTTAGGTATGCCTTTAGTTTAGCTACCTCTTCCTTTGTTGCATGGGCTTTACTAGAGTTGAACTGATAAACTTCGAAATCTGTTTGAGAAACCTTCTTATCTACAGAGTTTCGAATCTTCATAAGAGAATCTTCGATATTTGATTGATTATCCTCCATATTTCCAACTCTCGTGTCTTAATATTATGCAATGTTTTACCGATTGAATCTTTCTGAGTGTCTATTTTGCTTGTAATTCCTATCGTTAGATTAAATTTTACCATCCTGGATCTGACGGAACTTGTTCTCAATCGAATCTAGAGGTTACAGTTGAGAATTACATTTATATTGGTCGAAGCTTATCTTGCTAACAGAGTCTTCTCTCATAGTTTCAATAAACATCACATTTATCTTATCGGCTATAAAGTCTATTGAATCAGTGGCCTTTTCAGCATTCATTTTCTTGGATAAATTGAATGCAGGGGCAAGTTTTTCCATTTGAGATTTGAGTAAATTAATCTAAAAGAGCTATTTATTATAATTCTTACTTCATCTTGGAGCTCACTATAAAAAATTAGAGGAAGATTAGGGCGAAGTTACTTTATTCTAGTGTCAGCTGTATTTTCAATAACACCACTATGACCTAAATATTGATCGTTATAGATTGTACCTTCGTCATTCTGTATACGGTTATTTTCTTCCATTTATGTAAAATGTTTCAATAAAATAAACTTTATTCGGGGTTTTGGGGTTTTGGGGTTTTGGGGTTTTGGGG